ATACCCTTTGTAATACTTATTATAATATTTTTTTAAAAAGAATAATAAAAAAATTAAAAAAAAATAAAACAAAAAAACAAAATAAGAAAAAACAAAAAAAACACACCAAAAAACAGTGTAGTCAAAACTTGAGACCTCTCCCACTCGATCTCTGTCCTCTTATCCATTGCACCATTTAAGAAAGGAATCCTTGATGAACAGTTGGGACCACTCACTATGGCTCCTTGGGAGCAGAAGCGTGTGACTTATAGAGATTTGTATTCTCATTCTACTAAAGAAGGCTCTTGAACAAATATCTTTTGAAAAAAATCAGGCAGAAATCCAAGCAGAGTGTCTGGAGAGCAACTCACATCTTGTTGCAAAGCATGAAAGTTCCTCCTTCATTTTGGGGAGAGTCCTAGTGGGAACACATAATCTTTGTCACTGTGAGGAGTGTCAGAGTACTTGGTCAGTTTTGGGCAGTGATAAATTCTTTGGAATCTCCAGAGAGGAAAGGAGCTGAGAGGTTCATTTGCTCACCCAGCTACACACCACACGAACCCATCATAACCTCTGAGTGGAACATGGAATTGAGTCTCCAGGGGACTCCAGTGTGCAGACAGGTTGGGGAAGCACTGCTTTGTGGGTCTGTAAGGGTACTTTCAGCAGAAGAGGAGAGATCATCTACTTCAAACTGGCTTAAACAACAAGGAAGTTATTATTTCATACAAAGGGAAGCAGAAGGTAGGGGATGCCTGGTGAAAATGAAGCCCTGCCTCTGCCTTTCTGCCTTCCTCTCCTTCCCCTTGCTCAGCTCCCTCATGTGGTGACTGTCCCCATAGGCTGGCTCCACCGAGTTAAACATGCTTGCCCTTGTTCATGTTGAAAAATAGCCTTTTCCTAAAGTATGGCTGATTTATGCCGCGTATCTGGACCAGCACCAGTTGTGAAGAAATATGGCAGGGCGGTTGGCTTAGCTGAGGATCACAGGGCAGGGGACTGAGATTACCCCCAGTGGCTCATTCTAGCTGTGGACTGGGATCAGGTTTCCCTGAGTCAGCTTGGCTGCATGGCGAAGTGGAAGGTGCATTCAGCAGCAGGGAAAAATGCATGAAGGGGCACAGGAGCTGAGTCTACAGTTGTTAGTGCCCACAGCAGTTGGTAACATGGAAATTTTAGTTTAGGAATATTAATCTATACATATAAAAGCCAAGCGACCAGACCGACCAGAACGACTGGTCACTGTGATGTGCACTGTGGCTGGCCAACCAATCTGATCGGGGGTGGAGGCGGCCAGCCAACCTCCCGCATCCCCTACCCCCAGCTGGCCCGGCCCCGATTGGCCCTGATTGGGGCGGGCAAGTTGGACCCCACCTGTGCACGAATTCATGCACCAGGCCTCTAGTTTTTAATAACCCTTTCACATAGTTATCAATTACAGTGTGGTAAGTTGTAGTAAATTTTTTGTAATTATATTTCAATTACCATTAAGAAAAAGTGTGCCTCATTGAATAAGTCTAGGCCTATCTGGCATGGTAGACACAGATCATGGGGAAACCAGGCTCCCCATATGCCCTGCATTGTTCCATTTTTCTCTCAGTGCCTACCTGCAATGCAGGGAGTCCTGCTGTTAGACTAGCCCTGCTCTCACCTCCACCATCACCTCCACAATCTTCAGTCCTTTGGAGATGGCTCTGTTCTTACCTTTTTTTTTATGTTAGGCTCTTGTAGATGTCTCAGAATAACTTGTATTTACTCCACCCTGGCTCTGAGAACAATGCCCCAGTCCTGGAATTTCCCTGGTTGGATCCCTCTGGATCTTAACACTTTGCTCATATCATGGCTTGCTCACATAGATCTGGGTCTTTGGATTTCATCCTATCAGGCTGAGAATGTAAAGGGGTGAGATGTTTCTTAGCATTCCCATGAGTTCTGACTCATTCTCTTTCCCCTAAGAGGCCAATTTCCCCCTATTTTCCACGTGTGAACATACCCACATAGCTGGTGGTCAACAACAAAGGTGAATTAGTGTGACATGAGATTCAGTTTGCTCGGGATTTCCTGGTTTACTGCTGTTATACTTTTATTCTCAAACGTGTCCTTGTTTGAAAAATAACTTATATAAGTACCCAGGTTTTCATGTCTCCCTGCTGAAGGAAATTCCAGGTTAAAACTACAAATGGTTGCCTCCTTCCTCTAGGAAGCACCTTGTTCCATTTTTGAATATTATCTCTGTTTATATAATTCTTTCCTTTTAACTGAAAGTTACCTTCCAGTGGGTTCCACATATTAGTCCTATTTCTTCCCTCTGGTATAGCAAAGACTTAGTTACAGATACCTCCATAAACAGTTCTTATGTTTTCCCTGTATTAGGCAGTTCTCTACTTTAGGCTATCCTCTACCTTTCTCTGGTTTCTTGTATCATATGAGTTATCAGTTACCTTAGCCTGCTGTTTTTCTCTAGATTATATAAAACCAACCACAGGGGACTCCTTGTAATACTATTATTGCTTGAGAAGGATCAAAATATTTTGCCTGTATCCCCACCCAAGTCATTGCTAGAGAAGATATGGGGGCAAGATCTCTGAGAACAGGGACTTCTGGTTACCTGGGTCCAAGGATATTTATAGGACAGGCCACAGTGACAAAGTCTGTGTCTTTCCCAAGGATTTCAGATAAAATAAACCATTTTTTTTTTAAGAATTACAATATGGAATGTTAAAGATTTTAATGAGGTAAAAAGAGCTGTTACTTATTGGAGCTAATGAAAGCACTTGTGGGTAAAGCAATTAGATCATATTAGATGCTGGCCTCCAGTGCTGCATAAATTGTAACCTTGATATTGAACTGAATTCTGATTCTTTGGATGTATTTTCATGTGTTAAAGTTTTAGTTTATATAAGTATTTGGGGAAAAATAGGTAAAAGTTTAATGAGAATAAATTGGTAGTTGAAAGACCTGCTATTAAAAGGGAGCATATTTAATAAAAGATTGGAAACATTTTTTTGAGGAAGAAATATTTCTCTAAGATGATGACAAAACGTAAGTGTAACCTGTATGATGATGAGTTAGCTGCCATCAACAACTATCTCCAGATGAAGTTCAAAGTTAGAAAAAAAAAAAGAGGGGCAAAGTGATTTCAGAAAAAATAAACAATAAAAAACCCACCAACCTTTTCCAGAATTCAAGCATATTGGAAAATTTTAATTAAATAGATTATAAATTTGGACAAAAACAAATGCAAATGTACTATATTATATTGTATGTTAATCACCAGGAAAAATATCCTTAAACCAATAGTTTTAGGAAATAGTAATATTATTGAAGGAGGCAAAGACAAAAATGAAAATTAATACATTTGACTAGTCAGAACTTCTAAATACAGATGAACAGCTAATACTCACGGTGGTTACTGTCTAAATTTAACATAAATATGTTCATTATTTGTGAAAGAAAAATACAGTAGCAACACAAATCATACTGTAGATCACTTAACTATTCACAATGTTTTTAGAGTGACAATGGTAACCAGGGCACTGGCTCTGTGACTTACTAGCTGTGTAACTTGGAAGCACTTGACCTCTCTGTGCCTGAGTTTCCTCACCTGTGAAATGGAGGATAGTAGTGCCTCCCCCACAGGATTCCTGTGACTCTAAATGAGTTACTGCATGTGCAGGCCTTAAAACAGTGCTGGGCCCAGTGTAAGTGCTCCATAGAACTCCTTCACCTGGTAATCCATGCACTCACTTCCTGGCATCCCGGTTCCTTTCTAACACACTGGTCTCTGGTACTGCTGTCCACAGACAGACTGTGTCTGTCCTGACGTCTTCCTTTGCTTCCTGCAGGGCTCATTTCGAGCTTGTCTGCTATTTCATACTGAAGGGCCCTTCTCCTCCTTCTTTGTTTGTTGGACTTCTACTTTCCCTTTAAGGGCCAGCTTCTAAGCTTTCTCTCCTTCTCTCCAAAGCTTTCTCAGATCTTATGTTCAGAGTT